CCTGCCTATAGAGGTGGCCGCTCCTCAGGGTGGGGATGTGCTAGGTGTGCTCAGAAGTTGGAGTCTTCCTGGCAAATGGATTCAGCCCTCAAAGGAAAAGCTGTGGGCGCCTGAGCACCAGCTGGGCTCAGCCAGCGCCGGGACACGCCTCCTACTCTCTCCCGGGCAGGCGCGCCCCGGCCCGTGCTGTCACCTCCTTGGTGTTTGGGAGGTTCCCTATGGGAGAAGGAGGACTTGATCAAGTTTTCTTTGGTGGCTTGCCATTTAATCTTGTGCTCACTGAGAGCGATTCAGTCCTTAATGAAGTCTGTCCTCAGGTCTGTCTGATTTATCTCCTAACAGCTTTCTGGTTCATAGTAGGCAATAAATAAATTACTAGGATTAATTATTACTAGGCCCATGATTGTACAGGCGCCTCCACAGACAAATTCTTTGTCTCTGGCCTTTCCCATGCTCCAGACGGAGGCCCCCAGTGGCCATCCACGTTTTCACCTTTGCTGGCCTTTCCTGCCCTCCTCACCTTTAGGAGCAGGCAGAAGCCTCCTTCTCCCGGGAAACCTTCCCCATTTGCAGCTCACCGCCTCTCCCCTGTACTCTGCTCTGTTTCTTTCCCTCTAGCCACCCCCTAGCAAACAGGGACCCTGTAGTATCTTCAGCTGGTGACATGCCAGTCTTTAAACGCCTCTCTTGAAGGTGGTGGACACTGCTCCACACACCTTCCCCACTGTCGCTACCACCCAACCTTGCATGGGGCACACAGTGAGGCCGGGTTTGTCTGATTTAAGTGGTGATAGGAATTCCAAAGCCAACAGCAACTCCCTGAACCAAAAGGAGAGTGAGCCTTGGGGGTGGGGCGGGTAGGACTCTGCCACTGCTGAGCCCACTGCTCAGTTGGGCTCCAGCATCTGCTGTGGACTGAGGGCTCATAGTGAACAAATGACCTCGGCATTGGGCTCCAGCAGGTTGAAGTCCTTGAAGAGATTTCAGAAATCACAATGATAGGAACAATGACTCCCTATCACAAATTAGGGGTCCCTGTTTCCTTTAGGCATCCTGCAAGCCACATGCTTTCTCAAAAACCAGGTAGCAGAATGAAGAGCAATGATTTAATATGCTTGTAATTTACCTTTGCTTGTGTGGAGGGTGAGCAGTGAAGGAACTGGGGAGTCATCTTCTCTGTGCTTCGATGTCCTCATCTGTAACAGAGAGGGGAAAACGGCTTTTTAAAATAGTAGTTATAAAATATCTTGTCTCCTTAGACATCTCATTTTTATGCTTTGTGCTTTATCCCCTCCCCCCAATCCTTGTGTTTTTAATACATTTTCTTTTCTTAACACACCTCTCAGGACTTTTGGCGTAATTCTGAGTGGAATGATCTTACTTCAGTTTTCATTTTATTTTTTGATTGGTTTCTTTGCTTATTGAGAGAACAGTTGTACCCACTTTGCAGGAGCTTGTGAGATTAAATGAGTTTATACATATATATTGCTTAACAGACAGTGAGATTTCATTATTACACAGAGTTAGCAATTTTCACTTCTTCACTATTGACGAATATTGTCGATCAACAATTTATACCATGTGGCCAACACTAGAGAAATGCTCATCTTCACCTAAATTACTTATTACTCTGAAGGGGTTCAAGAAATATTCCAAGAAATACCCACCATCTCTAAGTGTTTTCTTTGAACATACTCCATAATATGGGGCATGTATCGAGTGTCAGACCACAGCTAGTGTGCTTTGAGATACCCTCAGGTTTATTTATCACAGAAACACCTTGGCCACAGGTATTACAAAGTGAGTGTGAACAGAAGGAAACAAAAGGGAATAAAACCCACTTCGCACTGCACTCTGGCTATGCTGTACCTCCTGAAGGCAGAAAATCACCTTTATGTGGTTATTATGAGGTGACTGACTCAACAGTTCTTTTTTATCTCTTGCTGCATTTTAAAGGACACTGGCTTTTCCTTTGACAGTCTGACATTGTCACCTTCTCCTCCAGTGCAAAATGGTGACAATACCTCTCACCCCTGCTGCCAAAAGTAACATGTAGAGACACAGTTGCAAAGGGAGAATGGCTCCTTTATGGTGACTGGCTTGGAATTATAAATATTTTTATTTCTCCCGTAGGAGATGGCTCGTGGAAGAGAGGAGACAAACACGACTTTGAAGCTAAGCAAGCATACTCATCCCTCCAAACAATCACTCTACTGAGGACAGTGAAACCTGAGTTTGAGAAGTTTTCCATGGAGGTGAAAAGTTCTGTTGAGAAACAGGGGCTCAATGAGGAGGATTACGTAAGTGCTTGATTATGAGCCTAGACCTTCGGTGTCCTGAAAACAGTCTTCTAATTAAATCAGAGGTGACAGAGTGTCCCATTCTGAGCCATTCAAAGATTCCTCGGCCCAGGTCCGAATGTCACTGTTGCTTTCTGTGTGCTTTTTTTCTTTGGTTTTCCTCTTTCTCTCCCCATGCTCTTCCCCCTGCACCCCCACACCTTTGCTTACACTTTTCCAACTGTTGCAGGAAGGAAAGTGGCTTTTTGTGGGTACTTGTGGTCATGCTGAGCAGATGTCTGTAGACTTCCATCAACTCTCAGTTAGGAGCATGTTCGGGACAAGATGAAGGAAGGAGTGGCAACGTTTTGCACGCCTGATTTCCCCAAAATTTGGTGGCAGAAGATATTTTTTTGGTTTGAGAAGGCTCTTTCTTTTGGTGATCTGGCTTAGTGGCAAGTGTGCTTCTCTCTCTGTTTTCTGTCCACTTCTGCTGTCTCCCACTCACGTATTCTAGAGTTTCCTGCTCCACAAGTGCTGCTATTGCCGATGCATTTCCCAGGAGTGGATTAAGGGTCAGAATTGTAGATCAGGCTAAGGATTAAACAGAGGGACTCCTGTCGAGGGGACAGTGAGGTCAGGTGACTATATCTTATTTGGTGCCTCTGCTACATCTTGCTGTGTGGCCCCTCTTTACTTCTTTCAAAATAAAAATTTTTCTCTGTGCCACCGTCTTCCAAATCTTTGTGTCACTGCTGAAGATTCTTTCTCAGAACAGGATGAACAGGATGACTTCCTTGGGCTGGTTGGGCAGGTGGCTGGTCTTCCAAACTGTTGACTCTACTGTCTTTTTAAAAAAGATTTATTTATTTATGCATACAGAACTGGGGTACAGGCCAGAGGTTCAGGGGCAGTGAGAGGATTC